ATTTTTCGCAATGCCAAGCTGAGCAAAGAAATTGTGCAATATTTTTATGTGAATGAAGAAATAAGTAGAATTTGCAAAATTTTATGCCTTAAACGAAAAATATACACACGCTTGTATGTAAAAAAAAATTGAGGTATTAAAAAAAGAATTTTAATAAACGGGATTTGGTTGAGAATTGAGCACAAGTTTATACTACCGAAAAATAAGCAGCATAGAATATTTTAGAGTATATTTACTGCTAAATTTTTGAGGTTATAAGTCAAAATTTCATTTTCGAACTTTAATTTGTATGACAACTACATTTTTTAGTCATACGATTTTTTTGATTATTCAAGACAGATTTACACTACTCATAAAGAAGTAGTGCAGAAAATTTCAATCTTTTATCTGCTTATTTTAAGAATCTATAACTCAAAATTTCATTTTTGAACTTTAATTTGTATGACAACTACATTTTTTAGTCACACGTTTTTGTTGATTATTTAAGACAGATTTACACTACTCATAAAGAAGTCGTGCAGAAAATTTCAATCTTTCATCTGCTTATTTTAAGAATCTATAACTCAAAATTTCATTTTTGAACTTTAATTTGTATGACAACAACATTTTTCAGTCACCTGATTTCGTTCGTTATTTTACACAGATTTACACTACTGATAAACAAGCAGTACTGAAAATTTCAATCTTTTTGCTGCTTATTTTAAGAATCTATAGCTCAAAATTTCATTTTTGAACTTTAATTTGTATGACAAATACATTTTTCAGTCACCTGATTTCGTTCATTATTTAGCACAGCTTTAAAACATTAATAAATAAGCAGCATAGCAAATTTCATGACTTTAGCTACTTATTTTAAGAAGTTTTAAAACTAAATTTAGTTTTTGAACTATAATTTGTATGGAAACTACATGTTCTAGTCACCCGACCTTTTTTTATTATTTCTCATAATTTTACAATACCGATAAATAAGCGGCATAGAAAATTTCATGCTCTAAACTACTTAATTTCGGAAGTTATGACTCAAAATTTCGTTTTTGAACACTTATACGTATGGCAATTATATGTTCCAGTTACCCAATTGTGTTTACTATTTTTATAGCGGTAAAGAAAGAAGCTAAGAATATTTCTGAATTTTACATACTTAATCATTGAATTTATAGCTCAAAAACTCATTTTTGAACTATAATTTGTATGGCAACTACATGCAAAAAAATATTTTTGATCATAATTATAAGCTTTTTATCGATAAAAAAAATAAGTGAAATAGAAAAATGCTACATTTTTAGCTGCTTTATTAGTGAGTTTTGAGTTTTGATTTACTGATTTTGTTGTCAACCAAGAGGAGTTGAAAGCTCTCTGCCACCAGCTACCTTATAATGTAGTTGATTTATAATACAAAAACTAATTTCTGAACAAAAAGTTGTATATGGAAGTGGAATGAAAAATAAGCACTAAACTCAGCAATATATATATTATTCCCTTTTCATGTCCATGAAGGGTATAGAGAACGAAAAAATCTTGATGAGCAAAGAGGTTATTTGAAAAACCTAAAGGCCACAGCAGCATGGACTGGCACCAATAAGCGCAATAACCGAGAGCAGAGTGTGAAGAAGCACACAAAGAGTAATGCTGAAATCAAGTGCAAAAGCTGCATGTGGCAAGTGGCATATGCATGCATATTCAAATATTTATATATGTACATATATATATATACTTGTCGCTACGTAGCCACTTTAACATGTCAGCCAAGTCAATCCAAGCAGCAAACGGCCAGTCAGCCAAGCGATTACTAACGAACAACGACAACACCAACAAAAATGGACGGACTTGTCGTCCAATTCATTCAACATACATTAGTATAACATACGGATTTATTTGTTGCCACATGCCGCTTGCCACTTGCCACTAGCAATTGAACTTATTGCGCCCAAAACGGGCATAAAGGGTACAAATTCAAAAAAATATATATATAAAAATGAATGCAAAGAAAGAAATTGGAGAAAAAATATAAATGTAATATGTTGTGGAAAAATTGGAAATAAAAATGGCTAAAAGAGAGAAAAAGGGTTGAAGAGTTTTATTGCCAAAAAAAAAAAAATAAATAAAAAATAAAACAAATAGCAAAAACAACTCAAACTCACAGAGCACTGCCAGAAATTATTGATAAAACATAGCGCATATGCTAAATAAAACGCTCGTTTATTGTGGCATGTGGCTTATAGCATGCGGCACCATGCGATTGTCTTGCCATTGTTGCAACAAACATACAGACGCGCATGCCATACATAATGCTGATTTACTAGCTTGATAGCGACGATTTTATTGAATGCACACAGTTTGTTTCACCATTTGTTGGATGTTGAATGTTTGTTATCTCCCTGTACAATTGGGTGCCATGCCATACCACCACACGAGTACATTGGTTCGGGCGAAACTAACACCTCTTTGCCTTGAACTTTTCCTATTGATTTGCCACCTACTGTGCATGTGGCATTGCCGCAATCGAATAGTTTTGCCCAACGGTGACAAGAATGTTTGTATTTTTCCGTTTATATACGATCGCACTGATGCCTATATATGTGTAATTGTTAACAAAATCAACAACAAACTTAAATTACTGCAGGCAATAAAAATTATGTTTCATAATGAGTTATATGCGTTTGAATGACTACGAACGTCATCGGATTGTTATTGATTTGTTTTGAATTATGAATGGCAGAAATTTTAATTCAATATATTCCCAATGTGGTTTCGATTTGGCTCTTAGATAGTACCCAACTGGGCGTAAAGTATTCCGGAAATAACGTAAAAACTTTCCCAACTCTATTTGGACGAGCAGTTCTAAAATGAATATAAACTTTTCATGAAATGAAACTGAAAATTTGCAAAATGAATTATCAGAAGCTTGCGAAGTAGTTACATACTAGTCTCCGAAAGGAAGCTAAATACTGCTCAAATTTTACCAAATTTCTCTGTAATGATCGTAGTTCTTTCACATAAACATAATAAAGCATTGATTAATTATTATCGAACCCGAAATTTACCGTCAAATTTCGAAAAAACACCCTGGCAATTCTGTACTAATCCAAGGTCTAAGTTTTTTCCCCAACGTCATTACTGATTTTTCCACAACTATTACTAAAATAGTCTCAGTTATGAACCATTCCCAAAAACTTCCACGCAACTAACAGTGACCCCATATTCAAAAAAAAGAACAAAATGAGAACTTAGAACTCAATCCAAAAATGTGTGGAAAAATTTGCATTGCCCAATGAACAAAGCACGATTCTTAGTTAAAAAAAAATTACTTATTTCTTCTACCACTTAAGGCAAATGAAAAGATTTTAGAATTACCGAAAAATTTGAGCAGCTTACTGAAGAAAAAACTGATTTTCATTTCAAAATGATTACGCTTTTAACAATTCGTTCGGATGATCTTGTCATCCTATATTCGGCAGTGTGCACTGGAAATTTGCACAGAAAGGATTGACATACTGTATGTACTCAGCGTCAACATCTTTGTGAGGAAGACCAGGAACTTTACGAATTTAATCTACCAGCCGCAGCTGCAGGGATCAAGAAGAGAAGGAGATCATCGAGCACTACCTCTGCCACTGTCCAGCCTAGACATCAGCGCGGTACAAATTTCTTTGGAATAATTTCTTAGATTGTCTCGCCGAGATAGCCTCAGCGAATATTAAAAATCTCGTTGCCTTTATAAGGCACACGAAATGGTTCTATAATCTGAAAAGGTGAAGGCAGAAGCCTTAGCGGTATCACAATGGGCCTATTGGCCTAAGTGTGCTGGCAGCAGCAGCTGCATCAACTTATCTAAACTCAACTCAACGTACCAGCATTATAGCTGAAGGACAAGCCAAGTGTTCCTAACTTGGAATTTCTACATATGCTGACGTGAATAGGGAAAATCTATTAGTTCTCTTGTAGACAGGCATATGCGCAATAGGATAAAAAACAACAGCAAAACAGCGAACCATATATGTTGGCTTTCTCTCTCTTATCAGGTCATGTATAATTGTCTCGTTTGACAGACGGGACGCCAGGCCACTTTCCGAAGATTCCAACGTACGATCAGCGTACTAAATATGATATTTCTAGAACTAAGGAGCTGCAAAATCAGAAGAGTACTTAAGGTTCTCTCACCCCTCCCCTGGTTCAAACAAATTTCAGGTCAATGTTTAATCACTGGTCAATCCCACTAGACGCGATGAAAGGCTGGAAATATTATATCATTCGATAACCGCTCCTCATTTAACCAGAAAAAGTAGGAAAATTGTGCGAGCTATTTTAAACCAGAATTTCATACTACACCCTTTGGTTGACAGAATTAAATGCCAAGGGTCCCATTGTCTATGCCCACCGCCAAAGATCAGCAGAACGCTTCGAAGAATGTTTTTAGCGGTTACAACAACAAAAATCCTAGTGGCGCAATTAAGGTCTTGATACCGGTCTCAAATCCCAATTATCTAAACTGAAACCCGAAATATTTAACGTAAATATGTCCTTCATGCCATTAGTGCACGCAGGGTTTCAATCACCTCTGTGCAAGTCCGCTCAAACCCAGCTATTCAACAACTCCCTCTCTCTCTAGTCCGAGCTTGACGACACATCATTTTAGATGAAATTTTCACTATCTCTGTGTTTCTTTAATTTGTAAAAACTAAAACTATTTGAGAGACATATTTTCAAAAATATTTTTATCCAAAGATAAGGTTAAAAATAGTTTCAATTTTATAGATATAGATTTGGTATTATTTTATTATTTTGTTATGCAAAGCACAAATGAAATGTTAGTATGTCCGCTACCGAAAGCAAGTAAATTTATGTATTTTTTTTTTATATTTTTGTAATGCAAAACTAACAAAAGCAACAAAAACAAGCACCAAAAAAAGCGCATTCCTTGAGTTTTTTTTTTAATTATAATATTTTTTTTTTTTTGTTTTATTTTGCAATTTATGTATATACATTCTTGTTTCGCTTACCTTGTTCCAACAACCATTGCCTGACGCCCATTAGACGCTGCTAATAAATCATCGGTATCCTGAGCGGTACCATTACCACTTGTGCCCACCACTTGACCGATGGCGCGTTTCATCGATTCAAAAACCGATTGTGGACCCGTCGGTTCTGTTGTGGATTGATAGATAGCACCACCACTGCTGCCAACATGGCCATTGGTGTTGGCGCTATCGAGCGCCGTGTAGCCGCCTTCAACTTGAGGCATCTCAAGCACTCCACCAGGACACACTCAAGATGAATTGAATTTTGCTGAATATTGGTGAATTTCTTGAATTCTTCTGCTGCAGCAGCCTGCGCTTGCTTTTGAGCGGCGTATGAATTTCGTGATTTATTTACGCTTGACGTTGTTTTTGTTTGTTACGTGCTTAGTGGTTGTGGTTTGTGATGAGTGGTAATTGTAGTTTTTGTTGTTGTTATTGTTGTTGTGTGTGGGTGTAATTGATGAGTCCAGACAAATCTTCTTTTTTTTTTGATACTGACTCCTGCGTTGATGATTTCTTTACAGTTTAGCGCTTGGGCTTTTGAGCTTTATTTATGTCGTCTTTTTTCCTTAATTCTTTTATTTTATATTTTTCTTCATTTTCTATTTATAATTAATTTTTTTTATATATTTAATATTAGTTTTTAAAAAAAATGCATACAGGCAAGCAGTCAGGCAATCCAAAATGCAGGCAGTGCAATTTTTATCAATCATTTTTTTTTACATACAATTTTTTTTTTTTACAAATATACATACATACATATATATGTATGATTTATTGCGTTTATTGCATAGCGCGTGTGTGGTGAGTGCATTCATTATTATTACGCATTATTATTATTATTATTATTATCATTATGGTAATGTCGTTTAGTATTGAGAGCATCAGCGAGCGCAAATGAGAGTTTTTTTGTTTTTGTTTTTGTTTTTGATTTTTTATTGTTTCAGTACGAGTGGCATTCGAGAGAGTTCATATCAACAAAATCGAAAAATAAACGGAAAGTAAAAAAAGTGAAATTATTATAATGAAAATAAGATTTAAATGAAATAAAAGTTCAAATCAAATAATATTTTTCTCTATATGTTACATTAAATAGAGCACAAATGAAAATAAGCGCATTTGTTGTTTACATAGATTTAAGTAAATTAAAAAATAAAAAAATATGCAAAACTAGCAGTTGATTAAGTGCATGTGTGCTTGTAATTAGCAGTATTGTGCATATATGTTGGTTTGTATATATGTTACGGTGTTGTCAGAATTTGCATACATACATACACGTATGTCCACATTTACTTATGCAACACGATGTGACTTTATATTTGCAAATACGAGCTAATTAAACTAAAATACAGACTACGCAATGTAAATAAGATGGCAAAATGGTTGATTTTAATATGAATTTATGCCTGGAGGTGGTGTGGTGAGATGTGAGATGTGAGAAGGTAATAAATTCTGGTTGATATAAAACTTAAATTATATGTAGGTATGTACGAGTATTTAAAAAATCTTGAGTTATTTAAATTAAAAACTGGTTTCCAAATAATAATAATAATAATGAGACGAACTGCCTTCGGCCATGTTCTCTACACCTAACATGACCATATCGAGTTTATGGTATTTCATTTTAGAATTAAATATTAATTTCCATAGCCGAAGATATCAATTAGTCCTTCACGCCGTTAGATGCCTTTTTGAAGGATTTTTTTTTACCAAAAACCGCATATCTGAACAATTCGGTTGTATGGGAACTATAATCATAGATCTCTAGAACTCGATGATTTCCGGTGATCTTATATTTATTTGTAGATAAAAATATTTAGTAGAAAACTTGATTCTTTTAGTTGGTTTTTTGAGGAATTTTTGAACCAAAACCTCATATCTGAACAATTCGGTTATATTTTGATAATTTTCAGTACCTAAGTTTAATTCATTATATGTGTATAGAATATCGAATTTCATGCTCTTAGATGCTTTTTTTTACAAATATATGACCTTAAGTCCCAAATCCGAAAAATCAGTCGTATATATTACATATGCTTCAGGGGCTCGACCTGGTGGTCGGTTTCGTCGGATGATCGCTTGAGTTTGATTGAAAAATCACAAAACTGAGAGACTAGATTATGTACGAACAGGCGGACATACGAGCATACGGACAAGCTAAGTCAACGCTATCTATCTATTCTCCTTGCAGAGTCATGGACTGAAGATCGCTTTGGAAGAAAATGAGCGATTGGGACTCAGAAAACCTTCACGTTATCAAAATAAAAGACAATGTCTCCCCAACGAATTAATGTATGATTGTGGCTTGAGGACCGGCAGCACCGTGTTTCTTTCAAAAATGATGAAGTAGCTGCCGTTCCACGAATGACTATTGTTATTGTGACATGCTCAGAGATTATTTGCTTCCAAGTGTTAAAGAGAATTATATGAACGATATGTGTTCGAAAATTATCTACTTGAAAATTAACTCCATTGGACTATTGGGAAGCCATTAAGGTTAAATACAACAACAGTCAAACATCGAGAAATTTCAAAACGCAACTTTTTCGCGGCACAAGCTATACCGCTCCTAGGTTAGGTAAAACTATCTGTGATGCCATATTTATCTGCTCCTCAATACCTGCATGAATATCTACAACTTAAATAAAACGCTTAGGTTTACGAATTTGCAAGGGTGACACATACCCGATAGCTCATTTAGGGCGTTAAACCCATGTGTACCAAGATATAACAGATACATTGGACAATGAGCATTCAGAGTACCTAAAGGAAGATGGCATTGGTAATCTTTATATCTACCAATATCGCGTATGTAATTGGTGACACGCTGTCTTGATTCTCATTTGTTTGGACGAAAACCACAGGTGGCTAGGCGATATTAACTCAAGAGTATCTATTCTAATAAGACTTATCGAAACTCGCTCAGTGGTATAGAGAGGTCAACTGGACCTGGCTGTGGGATTACGTCCGCGCTGTAATAACAAATGCTGACTTCATTAACTCAGAGATCTTACACTATCGCTTGAATAGCACTGCATTGGTCAGGCGGACTGAAACCAAAGTCGTTTATAAAAAACTCCCCTACGGATTCTTCCACCCGGCCTTGGAGATTATTTTTCACCAGCAATGATTTTATAAAGCATTATAGATACTAGACCTCATCATTTTTCGATGACAGCTCTACCACAAAATGATCAGTACCATTTTCTGTTGAGGACTTTCAGCCGAACTCTCCTCCAATTTGAGGTAAGAACCATGATATTTTCCCAACAAATAGAAGGACCCACAGTTTATATTAAGCCGCCTCCAAACAGCTTATAGATTTTTATAAGAGGTTTTTTATTTAATGTCAGACAAACACTCGTATGGCTTGACACTTCCCTGTCGAGGGGCGACTGCAATTAAATTAATTTTCTATACAATTTTTGGAAATTAGTCGGACCAAGACTCGAACTCTAACCTACCGAATGCAAGTACGCACTGCAAATTGCTACTTTTGGACCTCCTCTAAGCGTCCTAAAAAAGAGACTTCTACTCTACCATTTGTCTTTTTCCATCTAACCATTATAGAATCCATTTATTTATTAATATTAAAAATTCTATAGGTCTTGTAAGGTGTGCTTATGTATTAATACTTAGAAAAATAAAAGTACAACAACAAAAAATGTTAGAAATTTATTATTTCTTAGAAAAAATTTTTCCAAGAAATGCTATGAATAATCTTTTCAATGGTTTTTAAATGGTTCTTATTGCCGGCATAAGTTGCTCCTGACCTTTTTCACTTGATGTGTGCCAAAGTTGCTTCTGACCTTTTTCACTTGATGTGTGCCAAAGTTAATAATATTAGAAAAGCATACAGGAAGAAATTTGTATTTATTTAATGGGCAACCGTGCGCATTTGCGTCCATAGATTGATGGTAGAGCATTAAAGTAATCAATGTAATTTGCATATACTCGCGGTAAGTATGTTTATATATATACTGTTTAAGGTGTACACGAGCACAATATACTTCCTATTTGTTGTTATTTTAATAATGCAATTATGGTTTAGCTACACTGCGCGACTACGAAATACACTGTTATCTTTAGTTACGCTTTACACACTAACTTAGCTGAGCAAAAGTGAGGTATTTAAGCAAAAATTTCTTTGAAAATTGAACTGAGTTTCTGGTCCACTTAGAAAAGGCACAAGAAAAAGGTGCTTGAATCTAAAATATATATTTTGCTACTTGATTGAATTTATTTGGCTATTCATTTTCAGTTTTAGAACTCATGCGTTGATATAAAAATTAAAAAAGGGCTGTTTTTGAACATGCCAATGTCTTTATATCTTTCATGACCATATCAAATTTACGGTTATTCATTTTAGGATGAAATATAAATATTCGTATCTCAAAAAACCCGTTTTGAAGTGGGCTTTTTGATGAAGTTTTCCGATTTCGATGGTTTTCGGTGTCAATATTTATTTGTATGCGAGTACGAGTATATGTATCTGTGTAGAAAACCAAATTTTATTCTCTTAACAGCCGTTCTTGGCGAAGTTTTGACAAAAGCCTCATATTTGAAAATGTTGATGATATCACCGATATTCCTTCATCTAGCCTTCTGTAGATTTTTAAGCAGTTCATTTTGAATTAAAGAATCTATGTAAAAATTTTCAGCAGTATATCTCATCATCTGATTCTTGCTAAAGTTCTCGCATCTTTAGCGACTTCTGACGGCCTTTTACCTTAATCCAGGCTTTTCTTCGTATTGTGGGCAATTTAAATATAATAATTGGTATTATACTCGGAAGAAAAATATATTATACTAAACAAAAATCTACAAACGTACTAAATTTCTAGTAAATCGAAGCTCGATTCTAACGCGGTTTCGTGAAAAAAGTTCAAATTTTCAAGCAAAAAGAACCATAGATAAAAATGTTTTCGAAAAGATCAGTGTCGTTTCGACTTCTTAAAAAGAAACGAATATTACGTAAATCGAATCATAAATTTAACTTTATTTCTATTCAATCGGTTTTGGGTCGACTTTTCTGAAACATACTTTTAAGTATGTTCCATGCTTCTCTCGGTAAAAAGTTAGCTGCTCTAAATCGAACCATAATACGGCTTAGCGATTTTGGAAGGGATTCAATTTAAACTATACTACACTATACTATATAATATATACTATATAGTATATATATATAGATAAGGATATTTTCATGTAAAGTCATGTTATTAAAACCACAAAACCTATTATTTTCCGTCATTTCTTTTTTGTATTTTTCTTAAACTTCCATAAATATTTCAAGATCGAAATTATTCAAACCTCGACAAACGAACACCAAAAATGAGCCACAATCCAAATGTCAAAGTACGCTCTAGCGGTACAAATTTTATTTAAAGTTAGCTCGCCGAACAGGACTATTTGTATATAGAGAGCAGGGAAGCCGCTTTATGGTTGCCAAATTCTAATACGATAACTCGACCTTTCACAATACAATCTGACTGCCAGTTGACATTAAGTCTCTAGAATGCATATCATACTACCTCATGGTAGGATGAGGGGTTGGTTCTCAAACGACTTTTGCTGCAACTGCAGGGTCATAGATGAGGAGGAA